ATATATATATATATATATATATATATATATATATATATATATATATATATATATATATATATATATATATATATATATATATATATATATATATATATATATATATATATATATATATATATATATATATATATATATATATATATATATATATATATATATATATATATGTGTATATATGTGTATATATGTGTGTGTATATATATGTGTGTGTGTGTGTGTTTGTGTGTATGTATATATATATATATATATATATATATATATATATATATACATATATACAGGATTCAACTAAATTGTTTTAGCTTTACAAAATTTAATGCAGGGTGATACGGTGACTCAGTGGTTAGCACTGTGGCCTCAAAGTAGGAAGGTCGCTGGTTTGAGTCCCAGATGGGTCAGTTGGCATTTCTTTGTGGAGTTTGTATGTTCTCCCCGTGTTGGCGTGGGTTTCCCCCGGGTGCTCCGGTTTCCCCCACAGTCTAAAGACATGCGCAATAGGGGAATTGAATAAGCTAAAGTGGCCGTAGTGTATGAGTGTGTGTGAATGAATGTGTATGGCTGTTTCCCAGTAGTAGTTTGTGGCTGAAAGGGCATTTGCGGTGTAAATCATATGCTGGAATAGTTGGTTGTTCATTTCGCGGTGGTGACCCCTAATAAATAAAGGAACTAAGGCTAACAAAAAAATAAGACAGGACGTATGTTTTACAATGTGTGGTGCAACAATCTTCTGCATCTTAGAGCAAATTAATGACTGAATTGCACTTGTTTACAGTTTAATTTTTCCCCAACAGATCCATAAACCCAATGAGTTTGACATTATGCTAAAAATCAAAGTCCCAAGGATTGATTTTTTAGAACTGGAAGAATATAAAGGTCTGTTTTACACAGTGAAGCTTATGAAATCCACACGCAAAGAAATCCAGCACTTTCTTCTGGAAGATGGACGAACAATCTCAGCCACCAAAGTCAAAGCAGAAATGCACCGCTTGGTTCGCAAATTCGTCAGCAACCATTTTCAAGGTGTGTT